ACCAGGAGGTGAGCACCTAATCCCTGAACTGAATTTTTAACAGAGTTATTTACTGAAAAAGAGTGGAACAGTTCATTAACTATACCCAAAGGTGAGTTCTGATCAAGGTACAATGAATTTCCGCTATGTTCACTTAAAAATGAGACTTTAATGGTAATCGTGGGCATGAAAGCTAAGTTGTTCTTTCTATCAGAAATATCTATATGTGAGTACTGTATCCAGCATTTATTCCATGTGTGATTTGTAGACAAGTAACTTATTTTACCTACACTATGTTAATTGACCTCATTATAAAATAGAAAATTAGTTAATGTTGTTGAGAGGATTAAAATAGTTAATCCATATGAAAGGAGTTAATCCAATGCCTAGAAATAGTAAACACACACATATTAGGTTTTCCTATTATCGTTTTAATATTAAAATGATCATTTATGTTATCAACCTAGAAATGATTATATTCATAATGAATTCTTATCAAGGTTCTAGCCCACTCTACACAGGGCTTATCTATATTTTCTCACTGTTCATCAAACTATCTCCTCATTTGACCCATGTTTGAGTCAATGGCTTTATGTTCCATACCAGTGGTCCCCAACTTTTGGCACCAGGGACTGGTTTCGTGGAAGACAAGTTTTCCACGGACATTGTGGGGGATGGTTCAGGTAATGGGAGTGGCAGATGAAGCTTCGCTCGCTCACCCGCCATTCACCTCTTGCTGTGCGGTCCGGTTCCTAACAGGCCCCGGATTGGGGGTTGGGGACCCCTGTTCTATACCACTGAAAATTATGTGGTCATCGATCAGAAGTCCATAACTTCCCTGTCAAGAATTTTTACTTATAAATAGATCTGTGCACCATTGCTTCACTGCTCATCATTTTTCAAAAGGCATCTTAAAGCTGATGTTAAAGTTGTTCAGTTAAGCAATTGTTTACTTTCTGTCTCTTTTTGACCGGAACAAAATTCTGAGCCTTGGAAAGAAGTAGCCTCCTTCATTCAACTTCTTATAGACAGGGAAGATAACAGCAATCATATATAGTTAAATCAAATATTTAGTCACAATGTATGATAACTGAAAGTATATCTTCTTTAATTTGAATAACCAGTTTAATACGACATGATGGTAATAAAGTGAGGAACTTATTAACAAACAATTTTGGGGCTGATACTGTTTTTCCAAATGGTTTTCACATCCATTGATGATTCTGGTCTGAATATATTAATTCTGATGGTTGTGAAATGATTTTTCTATTTCCTTGATTCCTGTTACATTTATGATTGGCAGTCTCAGAGTTGGTTAATTTATTGCCTCGATGACATTGTCCAAAACCATGTCTTCCATTTCTCTGTCGCCCTCAGGTTGTATGCTTTGGTCTCTAGGCAAATGCATTTTGTGGTCACAAAAAGACTGCCCCATGCATCACCTTCAAACACTGTCCAGATGAACCTAAAACAGTTGATTCTTCCTTATGTTTCTTTGCATGAGCAAAAAAAAATATTGACAAAACCTTCCTAATAACATTTTCTTCAAATTTCATTGACTTAATAGGGTCAAATGACCATATAACCTATCACTGGAAGAGGGATAATGGTGGTTGCTCTAAGTGGAATACTCTTTGGCAGGGGATTGTACTGGAATTGTATTAGAGAGCTGAAATCCTGATGGAAAAGCTGTGTTTGACACATCAATATGCTGTCTGAATAAAATGAGGACACTCTGTTACTCAGCATCCTCTTTCTGTTATATGCAATACAGCTATATACACTACCTTATTGGTATGAGTTGGAAGTAAATAATTCTTATACTCCTTGGTATTGTTAATGGCTTTGAAAAGGCACTTCTTTTAAGGCTCATGACAACATAATGTTCCCTTTCTTTACTTTTCTCTCCTCAGAAACATGGGTTCCGTCATCTTCTGGAATGAATTCACCTGTTTCCTATGTGCGAAGTATTTCATAGACCCGGTCACTCTAATCTGTCAGCACAGCTTTTGCATGCCGTGTCTCTGTCTCTGCTGGGAGGAAGCCCAACGTCCTCCTTGCTGCCCTGTGTGCAGGGAACCATCCCATCACATGAACTTGAAAACCAATATTGTTTTGAAGACAAGGGTATTCCTTGCCAGACGGACAGGACCCTATGACTTATCAAGCTGTGCAGAAGAGATATGTGAGATACACATGAAAACAAAAAACTTCTTTTGTGAGGTCACCAAAGACGTACTTTGTTTACCTTGCTGTAAGTCTGAGGAGCATGGGGCTCACAGACATTGTTCCATTGAGTGGATGGCTGAGGAATACCGGGTAAGCAATGGCTGAGAGAGAAGTTTGAACTTGGGGGGCGCTTTACCTGAGAGAGAATGCAAAAGAAAGTGAAGTTAATTATTCTCCATTCATGTAAAATATAAAGCAGATACTAACTAGTATTATGTGCCTGGTCCTAGGATAAACTATTGAAGAAAATATGTTCTCAATCTTAAGTGCTTAAATTTTTTACTTTTTAAAATCTTACAACCTGAGTTCTTGATTATAATGAGGTTGATCATGTTTGGAACTGTGATTAGTCAGTGTAAAACCAAGATGGACAAATCTGTTAATTTCAGTGGTTATTGGTCACTATAGCCATGATTTCAACAAGCCTAATCTCATAGAGTCTATTTAGAAACATTGTCCTTTAGCTAAAATAATAGAATAGTAGTAGACAAGAACTATCAGCAGGACAACTAAAATCTGACACAGGATTTACATAATGAAAATGGGTTAGGTGAAATAAACTTTTGGGGCAAGTTTCCTCTATGGAGAAACACCCTTTTCAACTACCGGTCTATTTTGTGGTTATAAATGTCCCACATATTATATAATTTGGCTTAACTGTGAAAAAAAATTCTCGCTTTGTCTTCTTGAGTGATCACTTATCAGATATTCCCTGTCATTCTTCATCCATTAGGATCTGAAATTTTCAATATCAGCTTCTCTGATATTCACACTGTTGGTTCTTTTGCAGCAAAAGCTTCTGAAGCAAATGAGGTCTATGTGGCAAAAGATACAAGAAAATAAAAGGAATCTAAAGAGAGAAGTCAGCAAACTCAGGACATGGGAGGTAAACAAGAAACTCTGTTTCATTCAGCACCAGTTTGGGACACTTGGTGGTTATTCAATAAGATCTTGAACTAATAATCATAATATTTATGTTTCTCTATGGGTGACTATCCAATAGCAAAAGGCTTTCATCTACTCATGTAGAAAGAAGTATGTCCCCTTATAGGATTTCTTTCTAAAATCAAAATATCGAAGTAAAAGATCTTATTTCCTGGGCAACACCATAACACACCAACATATATAGAAAAATCACAATCAACAAGGTATACCATAATTAGTGAATGAGATAAACTCAGGGTTTCTCAGAAGGAAAATCTGAAAATTCAAGGAGACCTTCTCGGACTATTTGGATGGTAAAGAACAATTTGAAGTAGGAAATTCATGGGGATGACAGGCATGTAAATGTGTGCAAGCTGATGACTAGAAACTAGAGGATCATGTGGATATTGAGATTCTACAAAGTTCATATTGGTTGATACTTATACTATTAGAGAGGCAGTGCTGAGAGATATGGCTGGAAATGGAGGATAGGTCAGTTCAAAATGTGACCTAAATGCATGGCTGAGAAATTTGGATCTACCGTTTGTTGATTCAAAAATATGAATTGAGCACCACTAATAGGAGTGGTGAAATAACAGTACATATATATTCTCAAGGAAGTAATGATTTCATGATGGAAACATACAAACAAACAATATTAAAATATACTTCTCACCATTACAAAGGAAATTTAAATGGGGCTGAGTGTATGACAAGGACATATAGGAAAATTAACTCAATTATTTAAAGGTGATATACTTAAGGTTATCACTTACAATATTTCCCCTTTGAAATGTTGAGTGCTGTGTCCTAATAACTCTTCTAAGTCACTGTAGAAATAGACAAAATGAACAGATTTCCTTGTACTCAAGGAACTAATGGAGTAGTGGAGAGAGCCAATTAACAATCCAAAATATAATCTTTATGGCATGATCCTTTGTGCTAAGTGTTTTTGAGAAAAATTTAGCAGTAAAGGTAAATAAGAATAGTAATTTTGATAAAATTAAATTTTACATATGATCACAAAAAAGTTACAGTGGAAGATCACATTTGGGCTGACATCTGTGTGAGGTGTCTAGGCGGGTGGCTATTTGGGGAAAGAGCTTTTTAGGAAGAGATAACTAAACTCAACACATCTCAGATTTAACCTATCCTTTTCTCATACCACATTTGCTTTTATTTCTCCATTGTGTAAGCTAGATATGAAGGAGAATGAGAAAGAGAAGTGAAATTGGAAGTCCGACCTTATAGTTGGAGAATCTTTAAAAGAATGTACAGGAATAAATTGGCCACAGATAATGGGAAACTGTAGGACTCAAGAGATATTCTTTATGGTAGAGAAACATGAGAAAATAGGATTGATTTGATTGTAATGTTAAGAAGATAAAATTTAAAAACTGAGAAACAGTTTCTTCTCTGAAGTTGAAACATCACTGAGGATGGAAACAAAGGAAGAAATGCTGCTTTGGGTTAAGAAAATTTTAGTTTGAGAAATGTTGCACTTTGAGTTTTGGGGAGATATCCTCACAAAAATAGGTCGTAGGGAATCGAATGAATGAGGTTGGAGCTTACGTGAAAGATTTTGTTTGGACAGGGACATTTCACAATTGTCTCTATTTTCTAGGCATTAGATGGTTACCACAGGAGAGTTTTAAGAATGAAAAGAATAAAATTTTTACATGAAAAGATAACTGGAGGGATCTCTGTATTAATGGATCCAGCAGGGAAAG